AAAACGTCATTATTATATTTGTAAGAAATAATTTGTAAATTATTTATTTCTAATTATGTTAAAGTTATAAAATAATGCTAAAAATCACATTGTGAAATGTGCGTGTTACATAAAGGAAAGCCGGTCCTTGCCTCGTCACAGTAACAACAACAGTAACTCTGTCACCCGGGGCTGTTGACTGAATCTCTGTGTTTAGTCGCATGGTCTCTCTTAAAGATCCTCATTTAAGCGCATTATTCCACAGCAATAAATAACATCTGTCAGGCTTCTGAGGGGCCGAGGGAAGGAGTGTGAAAGATCAGAGGCCTGGCGTGAGTCAGGCTTGAGTCACAGGAGCGGTCAGTTCTGTGGGTGTTTTGGGTTGTCTTTCCTCTCTGGGGGCCTCACACGGCAGACTCGCCGTTCTCATGGATCCACAGCTTCCAGTTTTCACTCAGAAACAGTGCTTGAATATTATTAGGTTTGCCTAATATCCTAAACCTCTCTGTTTAACGCACACATTTATTGGGATGAATTATTTAAAATTATGTTATAAAATTAAAAACACAACTTCAGTTTTAAAAACTTTAAAAAAAAAATGTTATAAAGTTTTGTAGCAATATAATGTATTTCATCTAAATTTAAGACACTAATTTAATGTGATTTTTTTTACATAAATAAAAAATTATAAATATAAAATGTTGAATTTATATTATAATGCAATTAATTTGCAATTAATTTATATATTTTATATTATAATGTAATTAATTTATACATGCATTAATACATAAGATAACTGTAAAAAAAAACTTTTTTAATCTAAAAAATCTTTTGGAAATTATTAAATTTTACAAATGGCTTTTTAAGTGGCATTTTAAGCGTACCGTAATTTCCACTGCTTGATTTCTTAGTTAAATTACACTCAAAAACCAAAAGGACATTGTGACCTGCGTTGGGAATAAGGGAACATCGATACATTGTTCCGCAGGAAGTAGAGAAGGAAGTGTGCCCACCATTCATTGCGCATCAGTCCAGTACTATCGAAGTTTGAGTAAAATAAATGCAGTAAAAATCAGTCATCCCAAGCATTTTTATTGAGCTTAAGTAGTCCCAGATGCGTTTTGTATGAGATTGTTTGTGTTCATGTAATGTTTTTATTTTTTAATGTAATATAAAATTGCAAAACGTGCACAAAATATATATAGCCTATTTACAATTTAAGCTCATCACTTTTTAACAAGATTATTATAGATTTAAATAATCTATGTTTGTGGCCTTTATGCTTTAGTTATTTTCTGTATTTATTCATATTTTATCACTTGTTTTGATTTATGGTCCATATGATAGTTATATGCAACTGATAATTCATCTCAAAATCGACATTCACTCTTTCATCTGTTTTTTAAACCCTTTTATTTATGATATAATTGCCTCATAAAGAGTGCGAAACATCACACAGTGCAACTACCAAGAACATGGTTAAATAAGGTAAAATACACATATAATATAACCAAATTATGTTTATTTTAGTGCTGTCAAATGATTAATTGCGATTAATCGCATCCAAAATCAAAGTTTTTTTTACATGATATATGTGTGTGTACTGTGTTTATTTATTTTGTATATATAAATACACACACATACAGTATATATTTTGTATTATGTATTTACATGTATATATTTATATTCATATAATTTATATTCTATTATAAATATATTTAACATAACATTTTTTCTTAAATGTATACATGCATGTGTGTGTTTATATATACATAATAAATACACACAGTACACACACATATATCATGTAAACAAAAACATTGATTTTGGATGCGATTAATCGCGATTAATCATTTGACAGCACTAGTTTATTTTAATATTAAACATCGCAACAGACATTCAACACTCAGATTTGCATTTTCAAATTTGACAGTTTAACAAATTAGTACAATGTGGACACAACTGAACTTAAAACGAGGAAACAAATGACTAAAATCTGGCCACAATATTTATTTTTTTCTGCATATTATATGCGGGTCTGTGTATTTAAAGGGATAGTGACCCAAAAATGCAGTCATCATTTACTCACCCTCAAGTTATTTCAAACCTGTATGACTTTCATTCTTCTGTTGAACACACACACAAAAAGATAGTTTGAAGTATTTTGGTAACCAAACAGTTGACGGTAACCATTGACTTCCATAGTATTTTTTTCCACACTGTGGAAGTCAATGGCTACCGTCAACTGTGCTCAACAGAAGAAACTTGAGGGGAGTAATAAATGATGACAGAATGTTCACTTCTGGGGAAAAAAAGAAAAAAACTACACCGGAGAGGAACATTGTGAGTAAAGAATGGCTTCAATTTTCCGTTAATAACAATTTAGTTTCATTTTTAGAAGATTATGGCTAAATACCCAGCTAAAATACAAACGTATTGTCCGCACACTGATGTAACTGCTCCATAAAAATAATTTATTGCGGCAACGTTTCGACCATCAGGTCTTCGTCAGGCACTAAATACCCAGCTAAACAAGTGTGTCTAGTAAGAATTATGGCCGAATTTAGGTGCCCATATCAACAATGAGTTTAAAAACACACACCCAAAAATAATTATTCAGGAAAGCTGAAGGACTCTGAAGCACATTTAGCGTTTCGCTAGAGATGCAGCTGCATGACGAGACGCTTAAGTAGTTTCTGCCATGAGATGTTCCATAGTCTCATGGAAATCACATTTTTGGACGTGTCAGTTCTCATTAAGTGTCATAATTTGAATATTTACAGTAAAATGTCAAGAATGGTGAAACATCAGCTAGCATGAACACTAAACACTAGCGATTACAGAGAGCATATAATCATACTTTATGCCTTGGTTCACCCGCTGATGTCATTACCCCAGTCATGCTCTTTTAGCAAATGAGACTTTATGAAGATGATAAAACAGAGACGCATAACTTTCAGATGATGTATTAGACTCTTTTTTGCTTTTTATTGAAAATGATTCACCAATTGTGTTGGCCACAATATCTTATGTATGTTCCTAAAACGTACAATATGCAGGAAGTACGAGCATTCCGACAAACCCTATTTGACTCTTTCCATATGTTTGTAACCATAAAGCTTTATTATGAGCCCCAGGGCTAATGATACATATTCTTGTTCCTCGATTCCCAATATTTTACCCCTAAAGCCCAAAGTATACATATGCTAGCCTATATGTACTTGTAGGCCTACACTAGTGTATGTAAAAACTATAATATACTTTGGGTTTAATTAGAGGACATGTTCTGTTTTATAAGAACTGGAAACCCCAAAAATTGGCATAAATTCTTTAGAAAGATCTCTGTATTTAAATCACTGACTTTGCTACATTGGCATATTTAAGAACAGCTCGAGACACTGTTGAGATCTGGATTGGAGAAGACACGTGTGTATAGGAAAAATCTCCATTTGCTCTCCATTTAATCTTTTGGCTGTCCAAAAAAAAAGAAAAGTTTTTCCAAAAATAAGACTTTGGTTAATCTTCGAAACACAAATTCAGACTTTAGTGAAACCGGAGACGTTTCTGTCCCTCCATTGAACCACAACTTAGAAGATCTAAAAAGGTCATAAAGGCGTTGTAAAACAAATCCGTATGAACTGAGCTTGTGAACAGATACAATTGCTTTCTATGATGAACAGATTTAGTTTTTATTTACCGTGTTTAGATATTTACTGTGCTCTATGTGTGTTTGTTTACATGTGAAGGAAAGCTCAATTTAAACCTGTTTATCATATTACACAATCCTATCTCGTCTCAATATTTGGATTAAACCGCTTGATTCATATGGATTTTTGGGTGAACTATCTCTTGAACTTGTACTGATTAATAGATCTTAGTCAGAGTGTCATATTTACTTTTTGACAGAAATGAAAACAAGACTGTGAGCAACAGAAATACAGTGTGTTCATTGGATTGTACTGTTATTTAACAACATAGGCCTAGTTGTTCAGCTGACGAAATGTCTTTCTGGAAAAAAAAAACCTTTCAGCAAACAAAAACTCCATAAAACAGTTGTTGTGAGTTATGAAAATGACATGATCTAGGAGCTTTATACAGTGTGTTGCATTGTAAAGACTGCAGTCTTTCCTTCACAGCCTCATTTTCATCTGTGTTAAATTCAATATGGTGACTAACCTGGGGTGCATTTCCCAAAAGCATCGTTAGCTTACTATGGTCGTTAGTTCCATTGAGCTATATTGGTAAGGACAGAACTTGCGACCATAGTTGCTTTTGGGAAACGCACCCCAGATTAAGGTCTGTTGTTCACCACAGACTAGTAATATGTGATAAAATAAACTAAAGAAAGGCTAATGATTCAACTATGAATGTAAAATTAAAACAAATGATTTGAAAATCAAAACAATCAAGAAGAAATCTTTTGTTTGTTTACTTGCATATGAATGCGACCATTAATCGACATCCGAGAACTGTTAACATTCGAAAGTGTTGTTGAATTATGTGCATATGTAATCATGTAATCCATAAAAAAGTAACTGCATTCTCTATTATGTTATTTAAAGACATAATCTAATTTCAAGTAGGCTACTCAATTTTTGGAATCTGATTACATAATTCGGATTACATGTAATCAGTTACTAGTTACAGCTCTTAAAAAGGTGTCCTGTTCCTTTAAATATTGTGTGTAGTTTGCACACAAACACAATCCAAATTACACACACAAAAAAAGATATCAGATAGCAATACTACAAACCAAACCGCATCATATTTCAAATTGTCAAACAAACCATCAATTATATGACTGGACATACAAATAATGTAGCAATAAAACGCCTCAGATTCCCAATCTCGGAACACAAGCGTAAATTCTTACTTTAAAACCCTCAAAGTCATACACGAAGGCCCGAGGCAATGTTAGCGTCTTTCCCACATCAGTCCCTGAGCCTAGTAAACACTGGAAGATAGTGTGCGTTCCCCTTTAAGAGGCCCCCACCGTTCCCGACGCGGCGGGAGGCAGAACGCATTCCTGGAACAGCGCGAGAGAGGGAAAAAAATCACCAGCGACCTGTTTCAAGTCCCCCCAATAGAAACTGTGCCTGATTTGTGGCCAATGTTGGAGATGTAAAAAAAAAAAAAAGAGGGAGAGGGGAGGGAAAACACTAAAGGGGGTAGCTATGGAGATAGAACGTTTTCCTGGCTGCTTTCTTTGACAGGTGTTGAGTGGGGTAAAAGTCTTAAACAGAATCCAGCATGTACGCCAAAGGTAAAGGAGCTGTCGTCCCTTCTGATAATCAAGCGAGAGAAAAGTAAGTGAATCGCGCGCGCTTTAAAGAGTCTCGCCTTGCTTAGTACGGACTCGCAACTTTCTAAAACTGCGCGTACTATTGTTTGAAGGTGTATTTAGTGCGAACTTGCGCTCTGGAGTGGTCGTCTCCGAGTCTTCTTAACTTTACAGCCGCTTTTAGCACTTTAATGCGTTGAGCTGTCCGTGCATTTTCGATTTTATTTAAGTTTTGGTGCGCACGTGAACACTTGAACTGTCCAATGCATCCAGTCCGAGTGATGTTGCATGCTCGCATCTCTCATTTAGAAGCTTGTGCATCTTTTGCATCAACATTACACGCCGTGCATCTGTTCCTTAAGAGTTACATTGCTGGATAAACGCATCCGAGCCTTTTTCTCCCGGTTTTCGGACATGTATTAAAGTTGTGGAGGTGTTTGGTAGCCGTTCGTATCTGTTTGACCTGGTTTATTTCTTATTTAATGATATTTTTTGTCTCATCGCGTGTGTATTTGCACGGTTTGCCTTTAAATCTAACTGATAAATGAGCTCTTTTAGTAATTCCGACACATTAATGCGTACATATTCCCGACATTTTGTGGTTTGTTGCAGCGCAAAGTACCGGTTTTTATGAAAACTGTTGTTGCTTCAAGTTTTGCTGACTTTTCCACACTGCGTATTGTAATATTTTATGGTAGTACATCACCATGTGATCTTTCCACTGTTGTGTCCAATCTGTTGCCATAGAAACAACCTTACAAATCTTACATGCAATAAAGTGACCTGTAATATTCATAAATCTGTCATATGGGGTCGAAGGTTACCGTGTCAGACTTGGAGACTTATGATAGGACGTCTAGTATGGGAGTCTGAGATGATTTGCAGCTGTTTTGGAGATCTAACACTCTCAGAAAGGAAGAATGTAAGGAAATATTGGCGGTCATAGCTAAACTGAATGAGAAGATGATGTATAGAAGATAAGCATCCAAGAGAAGTTGCTTACAAGACCGTATTTTGAGTTTTTTTTTAGTTATTTTATCATTCAGATGTTATCACTTTGAAACCACTCCTTTCAGTGTTTTCTGGTTGTATTTGCGTGAAAAGCTTCCCAAAAAGTTGCATATAAACTAGGTGTTTTTTCCAAGAAACGTGCAATTAAGGGGCTAAAATGATCATTTAGACTCTTATACTAATGAACATGAAGTGGTGTGTTGGTCACACAGATGCAAGGATGTAGACGGCTCCTCAAGTGTTGGTTAACACCGCAGGTTACCGTTTCATGTGTTCAAAGATGAGGTGTTGTGACCACACAGGCTTTGTTCTGTCATTGGAGGTTAATACTTTTGTCAGCACTAGTCAAGCGAAGGTGCCATTAAACTTCTCAAGGAACTGATTTAGGATGTACTAACGAAGTTTAAACATCATTCATTGGCAGGTTTGCTTGGAGAAACCACTTTAAAAAAAAAAAGTGAACTTGGAGGAATCTACGAAGTTTATTGCAGCATTGTTGACTTCCATTAGTTTCGAATGGATTTCAAAGCTTGAGTTCATCAAAGTTTAGCGTCCACGGGATCGATCTAATTCCGCGAATCAGTTGGAATGCCGCAAGAAATTGTGTGGTGTGTTTTTTGGAGTGGAAATGAATGAAAACAGATTCCGATCTAGGTCTCCATCTCCTGTTTTCCCCCAACATTTTGAGCACTTCTCTGGGTTCCCCGAGTTTATTGGTGTGTCTAAGAGGCAGCGAGTAGGTCTGAATGCATGGTTTTGATTTCATCCAGATGGTTCAGCCTCCTTCATAGAGGTGTTTTCAGCAACATATAAAGGGAATCAAGCATGCACACAGAAACAGGACACAGTTGTTCTTATGAAGAGCGTCTGATTTGCTCTGTTTTGGATAAACGTTGCTCTCAGACGTGGATGAGAATCAATTAATTTTCCATATTGGATAGCTGAATGTATGGCTTTTCAAGTTTACTTTGAAGAGAGATGTTCTCTGTAATTATTTAGGGGCATATTTAATGATCGCTCTCAGTTGTAATGCGGAAATGTCTGTTTTGTGCGTACGTGTTTGGAAATCTTTTCTAAAAGAGCGCTCGCTCGGCTTTCATCAGAATAATTGAGATGGATTGCCTCATGAAAGTTTATCAACATTTTTTATTTAGCACTATTGCTTTGTGGAATTTTTCTGTCAGTCTTTGGTTATTATGAATGAAAGATCAGCTAAGTTGGGTCAAAAAGTACAAGGATGTGGAACAAGGCCACACCAACAATATTATGACAGCACTTTTTATGATGTCAGTGGAATGTCAGGCCACTTGTGATTGGTTTGCAAATCATTTATTGATAAAATACGTCCATTGTGTTGCTCAGTTTGCTCACAAGTTGCATATAAGGCACTTATGTTCCATAGTTTTTTTTTTTTTTTTTTTTTGGTAAATTTCTGGTTAAATGCTTTCAACAGAATATTTGATCAAAACAGTAGGGATATTGTTTAAGTTATAAGTGCTATATGCCGTTATTGTTTTTTTTATTGCTATCTGCAGATTGTATTTACTTTTAGATTACAATTGTTCATCATCTAACAGTCACTTATTGTCAATGTTTAATTTCACTAATAATTTATAATTTAATAACATTGTTAACTGTAATCTTTAGTAAATAACAAAATATTTTTAATAATAGCTATTTGGTAGAATTTTCATGCCCAAGTTTGCTTAAAATCATTGTTTTTATAGTCTATTGTTAATTTATTATAAAATGTAATATCAGCCATTTATTGACCAATAATTTCCAGCTTATTGGTATCGGCCAGAATTATAAAATTGGTGCATCCCTACAATTTTGCGATTTTGCAAATGCCAGTATGGTTGTTTTCGACATTCACGGAAGAAATTTAATTTTAACTCAGAAATTGTTAGTACATTTTCTAATTAATTACAAAGAAACAGCAAATAGCACATTGAATGAAATTAAATTTTTTAAGGATAAAGACTGAAATTGTATTTTCTTATAAAACGTACTCCAATAATCTTTGTTTTTGTTTACAACTTAACAAAATTTACAGTGTGGCATCATCCTCAAAAAACTACTCCAGGTAAAAGAAAATGTGTAATACAGGTTTCTGATTGGCTTTTATGTCCAAGTTGTGTCCTGAGGTGAAACTATAGACTCCCTGATGCATAATATGCCTTAAAACTTCACTTCTAAACTTAAGCCACCTTTTGTAGCTCTCCTCACATGCTGTGCGTCTTCACACGAGACCCTGCAGTTAAATTATTGAAATAGAGACAGCAAAGTTCATTTATTAACTGTGTGCGCTTAAGCTAGCTAAACTTGGCTCTGCCTCTTTTATGTATAAATGGAGTCTTGACTGGGAGCCTCGGGCGAGATGTCAAGATGTGTTCTCAGGTTAAGTCAGGAGAGCTCATCATGATGAGACTGGACACACAGCGAGCCGCCATGCCTGAATGGCAGAGCAAAAGCAGAACCTCGTCAGATATGCCTGTCCATCATCGGCATATCGACATCAACGCAGCCGTTTGTACGCCGCTGTCAAGGTCTAAATTATCCCTGCTGCGCGGCTCTCACAAGCAGGCGTGTGAAAGTGATAGCCCTCGACCGGTCTTACGGAGTCATTAATCTAAATATTAAGTCAATAGGTCCGCCTTCCTATTGCACCCCGAGCTGTTGTATTGCATGAGGATTAGTCGAACGCACACTGAGCTTCTCAGCTTGTTGATCCTCCACTCCTGCGGTCTCGCTATTAGTCGAAATACCGATATGTTCCTCTGTCAGTATGACAAAAAGCGTTCCCCGAAGCCCACTGTAGATGAAGTCCTTCTCAATAATGCATCAGGCTGAGAGAAGGAACCCATCATCAACCTGCAGAAGCTCCTCAGATCATCCAGAGCTTGCGATGAAAATTTCATCCGGCCACTCGCGGGAATCTCAGTTTGATCCATCTCAACGCCAGTTGGGTTCATATGAGCTGACTTGCGCTGTCGAGTACATGACTCCGTCTAGAGGTCAGGTTTTCAATAAACCAATTAATGTAGGGCTTTGCATGCAAACTACATCTTTGAAATTGGCTAGCCAGTGGAATGCCTGAAAAAAAGTTGACTATTCTTAAGGCCCATTCACACCAAGAAGATAAAAAAATTGTTCCAATTATATGAGAATAGAGAAGTTCACACCACAACTATAATGATAACGGCATTGAGGAACAATATTGTTGGAATCACTTTCAGAATAATTTTTTTCTAGCTGATGAACGATAAAAACATTGACAGTCAATCAGAATCCACTCGACTTTAAAAAGCTTGAGCATTTAGTATGGCAGATGGCAAAACTGTGGCGTGCTTATAGTAAACAGAACATTATGGTCTGATGGTGTGGACACTAATATAGTTATCGTCATGGTTATCGTTATTAAAAACCTGGAGCATTTAAAGTGGCAACCGAAAAAACTGCAGCATGCACTTATTGTTAATCGTCTGTGGATGTGGATGCTAAAAAAAGTCAATGTATTAATGCAGCAAGCGACAAAACCGCAGTGCACGCTTGTAATAAACAGAATGTCATCGTCCGTTGGTGTGGACGCTGATGTAGTTATCGTTCTTAAAAAGCTTGAGCATTTATAGGATTAGTTCACTTCCAGAATAAAAATTTCCTGTTAATTTACTCACCCTCATGTCATCCAAGATGTTCATGTCTTTCTTTATTCAGTCGAAAATAAATTAAGGTTTTGATAAAATTAAGGTTTGAAGGTCCAAATTTCAATTTCAGTGCAGCTTCAAAATGTAATCACATTGGAAAAGTCACGCGTGGTTCGTTCTTCATCTGTGTACTTCGGTTCAAAAAGGTAGGAAAACTAATTTTCTCCTCCAACTTCAAAATCACCCAACATTGTTGTTTTACCTTTCTTTGTAAAGGGCATTTGACTTTCGTTGCACGTTGGCTTTGCAAACACTGGGTCGGTACTTCCATTATCGGTATAGTTATCATTCTTAAAAAGCTCAAGCATTTAAAGCAGCAGACGACAAAACTGCAGTGTGCACTTATATTAAACAATGTTATTGTCTGTTGATGTGAACGCAATTATAGTTAACATTCTTAAAAAGCTGGAGCGTTTAAAGCAGCAGGCAACGAAACTGCATTGCGCACTTATTATAAAGAGCGTTATCGTCTGTTGATGTGGACGCCATTATAGTTATCGGTATAATTATCGTTCTTGAAATGCTTGAGCATTTAAAAAAACTGGTGACAAAACTGCAGCATGTGCTTATAATAAACAAAGTGTTATCGTCCATTGATGTGGATGCTAATATAGTTATTGTAGTTAACGTTCTTGGTGTGAATGGGCCTTTAAAGGGGTCATATGATGCAATTTCAAGTTTTCCTTTCTCTTTGGAGTGTTACAAGCTGTTCGTTAATAGATAAGATCCCTAAAGTTGCAAAGACTAAAGTCACAAAGTCTCGTCCACGCCCTCCTAAAACGCCTCGTTTAAACACGCCCCCACATGTCTATGTCACGATGTGGGAAGATTTGCATAACGTCGCCCAAATGTTCACGCAAAGAAAGAAGGTGTAACTTTATTGTTGCTGCCACTGCTGCCGCCATGTTGTGAAGACGCTGTGTGTTTCGTTGTGAAAGCGTAAATACTTTGTTTGGCCTTCCAAAAAGAGGACACGACTAGAAATCAGTGGTTAAGTTGTATTTACAACACTGTTCCAGAACAGTTCAACCCAAATATTCAGATGTGTGCAGCGCATTTTATGGAGGACTGTGTCCTGATCCTGGGAGAGTAGACTACAATGCCGGCTGTTCTGACTCTCAGTCTGTAAATCCGTTTTCATATTTAAAGAATTTGCCACTGATGATTCAAACGCGAGTTTTGAGCAGTGTAGAGTAGCGCTTGTTGTTTGTCATTTCTCTGATCACAAATGCAGACATGGTTTTATGTTTACGCGGCACGATGCAACGCAACACGTAAAAAGACAGTATAAGTCATTATAATCAGTAATTATGTCCCCACCGGATGCAACAAATGCCTTGTTTATAATGGGTTTTATAGGTGTTGTCTCATCGCACCGGCATCACAATATGGTGAGGGATGTAACATTTCCGTCACACGCTTGAGGTATTCAGCCAATCACAACGCACTGGATAGCTGGCCAATCAGAGCACACCTCGCTTTTCAGACCGATGAGCTTTGTAAAAATCGACGTGTTTCAGAAAGGCGGGGCATAGAGGAGAAACAATAATGTACAGTATGTGGAAAATAATGTGTTTTTTGAACCTTAAACCGCATAAACACATTTCATTACACCAAATACACAAAATAATGTTCTTTTTTAGCAGCATCATATGACCCCTTTAACTGGGGATTCCGATGGGATGCTCATGTAAGATGGATTTTGTGTGACGGATTGAGTATTTTGACGCTTGCGGCTAAATGTTCAAAAAGATATGATGTAGTCGCCCAAAAAGATTGTTTAAATTCTAATTGAAGCCCCGTTGCTAAAAATCTCGGAATTAATAAAGATTTTGATTTGTTCCTCTAGGTGTTTGATGAACAAGTTGAGAAAGTCCATAATTTTGGGAATGACGTGAACGGGTGGGCGTTAATGGTCTTCTGAGGTCAGTCTGTCAGGCAGTTGATGGACGTGGGTGTTCGTGAACTCATCACATCACTGTGTGCTTCTGTCACATTTCTGGAAGAACCTGCGCAAATGTTCTGTGGTTTTGAGAAAATGAAGCGTCACATGAGTTCCGCACCATACTTAAGACTATGAATTTCCATTTTTCTAAATGTTAAAAATTAGCGTAATTAAATTCGAAGCAGAACTCTGAAATCTTTTCCTGCATTGCACAAAAGTACAACTTTGTTGACAGCTGTATATACTTGAGGGGAGCTCCTAAAATGAGAATGTCTGATGAAACACCAAGAAATAATTCAGACGTTTGAGGGGAAAATTAGTCCTTGGTATTTGATCCTTGAAGCTGTTCTTCTGGAGATGCTCTTTAAATAGTATTAGGGAGTGTTCAATGTGGAAAGGTAATGCATTTTTGTTAGGGCTGTCAATTTTAAAACTTTTGATGAAATTAGTTACAGTAATTAAATGAATCGGATCAATATTTGCTGAAAAATATGAAGACATTTACACTTGATTACATTTAGATTAGTTTAATATACATTACAAAGTGGCTCTTAGAAACATTGATTTAATTGCTCTGATGGTTGGAAAACTCCATATTAATTTATTTATGATTCAGAGTAATTATGAGTTTATTTTGTGTGGTTATTTTTGTAATTTGTTTATTTAATTAACTAAATCACATTTTTTTTAATAGGCTAACTGTACCAGATTACTTAATTTAATCTTGATTAATTGAAAGCTCAAATTTTTATTTGTTTAATAAAGGCTACTTTCAATTTAGCAGCTAAATTTTTATTAGTTTTGAGTGTATGCATGTTCTTTACTGATATTTATTCAATAATTAAAAATGAAAACCAGTTAAAAATGAAAAATAGTGTTTATTTCATTAAAAATATATATTTACCAGCTAGGCTATATGGTATTATGTTTGTTAATATGTATGCTAATATTAATATGCAAAGTATACATACATACTAACATTCAACTATTTATTTTCTATTTTAATAGATTTTACTCCACTGTCATATGAGCACCAAATCAGCATATTTCTAAAGTATCAAGAAAAAACATTTCTTATTATCAATGTTGAAAAAATTAGCTGTTTAATATTGAATCTATTTATTTATCATTTTTTTGTGGAAACCATACATTTATTTCAGGATTTATCAGTGAATGGAACAGCATTTATTTAAAAAATAAATATTTTGTTGCATAATAAAAGTATTTACTGTCACTTATGATCAATTAAATGTATCCTTGCTAAATTAAGGTATTAATAAAAACATTTTTTACTGACCACAAACTTTTGATTGGTAGTGTATACTGTATATTTGTTGTGGTATCAGTCGGTGTAAATAAATTTTACTTGTATTGATATTGATTTCATAAACTTTGTCAGACTTTAGTGTCAGAAATGAATGCTCCTTACCTCAAATCTCAGATTGCAACCAATTTTTACCAGCCTGCATTTCCAAGAATGCTTTGCAACTAGGCACCTGTGAGGTTTCAACATGCAGCAAAGTTAATTGCTGCAATGTGTTTGCTTGTCCATCTAGAATGGGAGAGCCTGTGGAACTGCATTTTTCTCACTTGAAGTTTGGGAACAACCCAAAACGGACAATTTATAGAACTAACTGAGATTTACAATGCCTTTTTCCTCTTTTGTCTTGCAGGTTAGCTTTATATGTGTATGAGTACTTGCTACATGTTGGCGCACAGAAATCGGCACAGACCTTCCTGTCAGAGGTAAGTGGTCTTGCACAATCTACTTTCCCCAACAAACAGTTGTTATTGTGTACTCAGGAAAAACTAATATTAATTCAAGCCAGGTTTGAGGGCAGAAATTAATACTTTTTGGTTGAGACTCAATTTGTTGTACATTTTATTCATATTGATCAATCAATTCCAATTGCTTTGTTTCAGCAAATATGAAGTTACTTTTTGTAATATAGAGGGAATTTAGTTTCTCATTACAACACTCTTAAACTCTGATATTGTTTCTCCAAAGCATCCTGCATTTATCTGCTAAATAAAAGTGTCATTGCTATGATATTAGGCCTTCATAATGTGTCACCAGTGTTTCTAAAAATCAGTTTGAGCGCCACTGAGGGGGCGCAATCACAGCATTAACATTTGTGCGGCTACTACTAGCATGGTAAAGTGGATTGTCGTTACGGTTTTGTGAAGCGGTGGAGCTTCTGCTGTAGATGTGTCAGTGCTGTTCTCACTATATGAATGTTATATAGAGCTTGAGTACACTACATGTCTGGAGTGGAGGTGATGCCACCACTTGTGTTTAGATCCGCTCTTAAACACGACTGCGTGTTAAAAGTCTGATTTAACGTTGGCCTCGGTGGGAATAGGTGCAATTGGTTTGTAATATAGCCTACTCTCGATCTCCTGATCTGCTGTAATGCTCTCTTTTAAGGCCGATCAAAGACTTGTGTTGGTTTGTCGTCTTTTTAAGATGTTCTACAAAGTTTGTTAGCCTATACTTGAATGAATAAAGAAGCCAGTTTATGTGGAACTTGATTTAGTTGAATTTTTAAAGAGTTTGCCAACCTGCAGGCTTGAAATCATCACAAAATGCTTTTATTGTGCTTTGTTGAACGTCATTTATAGTTGTTATAGAGCCCTATGAAATCCGTTTAATTTTTTCCAAATTCAATTTTTTCCGTTTTAGTTCTTCTGGATTCCGGTTTAATTTGTCTAGGCCCTATTTTAATGGTTAAATAAAATTTTATTCATCAAAAAGCATGTCTAATTAATTAAAATCATGAAAATGACAATATTAAACAGCAGTTTATTTAAAGTTTAACAAAAATAACATTTTTTATTTAATTCAATTCAAGTTTATTTGTACAGCGCTTTTCACGATACAAATTGCAAAGCAACTTTACAGCAAATTAAGTTTCTACAATATTTAGTGGTAGCTTATCAGTGGTGACTGTCAGTCAATGTACATATGGCAGAAATGTACGGAAAAATCAATTAAAGACAATCAAACAGACGATGAACACTATTAACAGCAATTATTATATGATGCAATCAAACTTATTGCAAAATGTGGTAGTTTATGTTGTTTCAGGGTTGTCATCATCTGAGGTCCTATGAGGGGTTGGCATCATCTCTTCTCAGGTGTTCTGGATCCAGACTGAAGCTTGTGTAAATCCTAGTTACGGCAAAAACAGAGAAACAAATAGAGACATAATTAGCGTAGCTGCTGTTCCAATCAAGCAAAATTTATTTGTTTAACCCAAACTAAAGAATAATAATGTGCATTTGATCAGATATAACTGCAGTACAAGATTATGATATGCATTATTTGAATGCTTGGCCAAAGAGATGTCTTTAATCTAGATTTAAACAGAGAGAGTGTGTCTGAACCCCGTACGTTATCAGGAAGGCTATTCCAGAGTTTGGGAGCCAAATGCGAAAAAGCTCTACCTCTTTTAGTGAACTTTGCTATCCTAGGTACTATCAAAAGTCCAGAGTTGTGTGACCTTAGGGAGCATGATGGATTTTAGCGTGGTAGAAGACTAGTTAGGTACGCGGGAGCTAACCCATTAAGGGCCTTATATGCAAGTAATAATATTTTGTAACTGATACGGAATTTAATAGGTAGCCAGTGCAGAGACTGTAAAATTGGGGTAATATGATCATATTTTCTTGACCTGGTAAGGACTCTAACCGCTGCATTTTGGACTACCTGTAGCTTGTTTATTGAAGATGAAGGACAACCACCTAGCAGTGCATTACAATAGTCCAGTCTAGAGGTCATGAATGCATGAACTAGCTTTTCTGCATCAGAAACAGGTATCATGTTTCGTAACTTGGCAATGTTTCTAAGATGGAAGAATGCCGTTTTTGTAACATGGGAAATATGATTTTCAAAAGACAAGTTGCTATCTAATATAACACCCAGATTTTTGACTGTAGAGGAAGTAACCGTGCATCCGTCTAGTTGCAAATTGTAATCCACGAGATTCGGCGTACTGTCTTTTGGTCCAATAAGTAAGCTCTTCATCCTTAAACAAAAATACTTGTCTGTTCTCATCCTTGTACCTGCACAGTTTTATTATTAGGAATGTACACAATATGTATTCTGCATCCATCCATCTATTTACCCGTTTTAATAAATAATAAGGGTATGGTTTAGACAGTGTAATTTTGTCAACAAAATGTGCCTTGTCCAGTGTGTAATTTGCACTTGTTCCACTGTTTACTTTGACTTGACAAACAGATTAGTCCAGTGCCAAAACAGCCTATTTATTACTTTATCTACAGTAAGAGTATCTTACATTTAGATCAATTAAAGCTTTTTCAGTGTGCAATAAGGGATTTCTCAGGCACTAAAGAAGAAAGAAGATTTTAACTGGAAATAATGAACAACACCATTAATAAATGTCACTTGCTTCCATGTACAAAACATGACAACTAGTAGCCTAATAAGACTAATTCCAGTCACATGTATTCAAGGTTAAAGTGTGCAGGATCTACACGCTAATGGCCTACAGTTATAATAATCAATAATTCACAGGGTTTCCAATGCAGGACAGAGCAAAGTCAAGTTCAGGCATGGTACTTTAGCTTATTTGGTTTTAAATGTTATCACACTGTATGCATAGCTCTCATTTATCCCACTTGTGAACATTATAAATTGTCTTTAAATAACATAATTTGTTCCCAGATAGTACTCTCATTTTATAGCAAAACATTTAACATACAGAAATGTATGTTTGTTTATTGTAGTGTTATCGTGTTTACTATGCTGTGAAACACTGAAATGGCTGGCCGTATTCCTCTGGTTTTGCTGGCCTGTGGCTCCTTCAACCCCATTACCCACCAGCACATGCGGCTGTTTGAGCTGGCCAGAGACCACATGCACCAGACGGGTTGGTGCCACCTGTTCATTTACCTGAAATTGGCCATCATCTGTTATCAGGCCAAAATTGGCATCCTTTCCAATGTCCCTCTGAGCCTGTAGCTTTAAAGTGATTTCTGTTATATAACTGCATTTTGTTTTTTAATTCTAGTCTAAAGTATGTCTAAATCTATTAACCTTATAAGGCCAGACATATGAAATATATGGGCTCAGAAAGGATGCCAATTTTGCTGCAAGCAATGCAAGAAAAATGTTCTACAATGCAAGCAAGCATTTCAAATTTTGTTGGTTATGATTGGAACAATTTGTTGTGTTCCACCACTAGCTTGCAGTGTAGACGTAGTGTAACTGCACCTCTTAAAAGACTCTGCATGGTGCTGGCATGCTGACATTTTTGCTTGTGTTTATTTACTGTACACAGTGTACTCAAAAATTGCTTGCAGAAATAGCATATCAAGTAGCCAAAATAGCTTGCGTCTTATATTACCTCAAGAGTGCCTGGAGACTTGTTTGTGGTTTGTTGCCATTTTTATGAAAGATTAAAACTGATTTTTAAAAACTAATTTTTTAAGAGCCCAAACTTTAAAAATCATTTTTGTTCATTTATTTTAAATTTTTCTGGTTTAATCACGATCAGATTTTTTCTAGATCCTGTACATCGTATGTATTTTTTTCTCAAATTCAGTTTTATTTTTCTCTAATTCTATTTTCCATTAATTTTATGTAGGCCTATTCCATTTTAATGTTTTCATTAAATACTAATAATCAAAGCATCTCTATTTTTTATTTTTTTTTATTTTATATATATATATATTTTTTTTATATTTATATTTTTATTTTTAATTTATTTCTGTTTGTCCAGAAGTACTGTGTTATATTTCTGGTAAAAATAATGTTTTAATCATAATTTTAGTAGTAGTAGTAGTACTATCATTACATTAAGTAGTTTTTCTGTCACAGTTTCTTCAAGTTAAACCAAACTTTTATTTTGGCGGGTTGCTGTAAAGACCTTTAAGTTTCTGATTGAATATGATATGACAATAGTTTTTATCGAATGGAATGGTAAAATGCTCATGAAGTGACTCAGAGCAGTTCTGGAGATTGTATTTATGTGTTCATGTACTCGTATATTGAGGTGGCAGAGGCAGAAAAACTTGCATGCGCACTTCAGTAAGTGTGTAGCAAACGAAACCGTGCGTCTGCGCCATTAATTCACACAGAGACATGCAGAACATGCAGGATTCATATAGTATTTTTGCAGCTTAGTATTCACAGACATTAGTCCATATCGCGTTTTGATTTAAGTGTACTGGCCTACTTTGTTGTATCCATCCAAAATTAGGCAAATTCCGAGACATTTTGCCTTATACAGTAAATTCTGTTTTTATGACTGGATTCCACGGATAATGTTTCCGCTGAAATCATAGGGCCCTATTGTTAGAAGCAGGTGATGTCCATTCAGCTTTTCAGTTCATAATTTGAATGACTACAGGAGGCGTTTTTGACAAGATTTTGTTTGTAGTTATAAAGATGTGTAAATGTTAATTGTTTGACATTATAAGACATTAACGAGATTGTGTAACTCTTCTTTAGTGCTTCAGGACCTTTACAGATTGTGAACTTTTTAAATGTTATCATCTATCTTATTGCATTTGCCGCGGTCCTCCGGTACCTGCTGTGTTTGTTTATGTGGGTATCATTAAGCGCTCACAGTGGACTTCCAAAAGCGCCCTGTGTTTTTAAATGTTTAGCTCAGACAAAGTTTGACAAAGATAAAGCACTGTGCCAAAGTCTGGCCTTGTGCTTGTGAGAATCTCCAGGGATCTTGGTCAGACAGGTGAGATGTTGTTATTTCTGAGTTTTAGCCCGTATAAGGTGCCACAATACACAGATATTTAATAAAAAAAACTACTGCCTTAACATTTTAAGGCAGTACTTTTTTTCATTAAATACCTGTGTACTGCAGTACAATATCATAATTTCACACAAATTTCAGTACTTAGAAACTCAATATGTTGAGTGAGATTCATGAAATGAAAACAAACATAACACTCCAAGTAAAATAGTGATGAACTTTATTACAAAAATAAAAAATACTACTGAGCCATGAAAATGTACTGTACTTTTTAAATACATATATATTAATTATAACTTAATCATTCATGTTAGTTCATAGTGCATGAACTAATAATAACATACAACTTAATTAAAAAATGTATTAGTAAATGATGAAATAACAATCTAACAATGAACAATACCCTTACAGCATTAATTATTAGTTAATGTTACAAATGGACTCTTGCAAAGTGTTATTGATAAATTGGTTGACTTGTAATTTTTATGATGAAATTTAATCATAATTGATGGTCAAATATTTTTGAAAGAAGCTGACAAAAACATCTTGGTTACGTTTACTGAAAAAAAGGGTAAAGTTTTATATTATTATTTATTGCAGGGTGTATCTTCATAGTTTAAATTGTAATTCCTGTGCATTGTTGAAATGAAAAGTAATATATTTGAGCATACATTTACAAATTTCAAATAACAATACACATGTGTGTCATTATACTGAACTGTTGAACCCTACACTTAGACATTGTCAGGGTTTATTTCTTAAAAAATAATCCAATATACTGACGTTAAGTGCAAAGTAATTTATCGATAATTGCTAAATCTATTGACAGTCATAGTTTAATTGCATTTTAATTGCCTGAGGATGTTTATTTGTTGCATTAGGTATTGACAACAAAATTAGGCTATCAATCCAACCCAATAACATGGTTTTAGAAAGGTGAATATAGGCCATATATGCATGCAAAATTAGACCGTACACCGTAATTAAATATTAAAGAGTCAACAAGTAAACAGATGGCTGTGTTTACCAACCTTTCAGTGTTTTTGTAATGGCAGTAGGGCGTCAAACATGCGTGCCGTCGACAGTCGCCATTACCGCCGTTGCTATTCAATTAGCCGAACGCTCGTCAGATCTTGAGACCTTAGCGCAGGCACACTTGTACACCACAGGGGAGGTCTTTCGGCCCAGGCAGGTACACAGCAGGAGGACGCACCTGTGCATTGAAGCTTAATGAGGGAGCAGTCACCTGCTTGTTCCCTTTGCCACCTCACAATTACTGCTGAAACTCCCTCTACTTACACCTTGGACCTCAGAGGGGCTACACAACTCTGCTCTGATCAGCACAAACACACACATGCTTTAAAACATTGTTAATCAGTCCCTTACATCAGGGAGACGCAGAATAATGCACATCAGCTTTTTGGGTGCATAGTTATGGACAGGGCATTTTATAAAATCGATATGTCTGCTTGGAAAGGTACCATCCGTTACAGTGGTAGGCTGAGTAGGTGTAATCTGTAAAGAGAGAGTGAACGTGCCCTGATTTGGTGTGGAAAATTGTAAAGTAGCTTTTTAACTGTAGTTCATGCCTTGTGAACCTGGTCTATTCATACTTGACCTCTTTTTCTCTGTTTCTCTCTGTCTGTTTCTACCTTTTTAGATCCGATGGGAGAAGAATATCACATTAGGAGAGCCTCCTGGATTCCTGCACTCATGGTGGTGGTATGTATCGATCTTGTAACTCAAAACCCCTAACATTCTCTGACGGTATGGCCATGCTAGCTGTTAGCAGCAGTAGAGGAGCCTAAATGAACGCTGGTCCATTATTCTTGGAAGTAGGTGTCTGTATGTTGCCATACAGCATTAGGCCTGTTTTATACACAGATGTTAGAGTAAAAGGCTGTAGAAGGATTTGAAGATCTTAATGTATGACTGTTGGTTGATTTCAAGACAGGTTCTCGTATTGGTCTTTTTCTCTGTGAACCTTAGCCAGAATAGAGGGCATATTTAATTTTAATTAATTACGTAAATTACAATTAGGCTGTGAGGGATCGACGTACAGTCCATTCAGTAAGATCCAATATTCACAACCCTGTTGAAAAGACCAGGATTGTGCCTACAAGGCTTCTTAGCTTACTTGAATAGCAATTTCCCCTTGGTCAACCAACACAGAACCCAGACTCTGATAGTTTAAAGAGTAGTTCACTTCCAGAATGAAAATTTCCTGATCCTGATTTCCTCACCCCCATGTTATCCAAGATGTTCATGTCTTTTTCTTAAGTCGAAAAGAAATTTAAGGTTTTTGAGGAAAGCATTACAGGATTTTTCTCCATATAGTGGACTTCAACAGGGACCAACGGGTTGAAGGTCCAAATTGCAGCTTCAAAGGGCTCTACACGATCCCAGCTGAGCAATAAGTGTCTTGTCTAGTGAAACGACCAGTCATTTTCTAAAAAAAAAGCTTGTCTTGCACTAGCTCGACTTATCGCATTATGTAGTCAACTTGGAAAGGTCAGGCGTGATGTAGGCGGAAGTACCGACCCAGTGTTTACAAAGTGAACGTCCGAAGAATGTCAAACTCCCCTTACAAAAAAAACAACAATGTCGGGTGATTTTGAAGTTGGAGGAGAAAATGAGTTTTTTGCCCGACCCTACTTTTTTGAACCAGAGTACACAGATGAAGAACTAACCACGTGTGACCTTTCCAACGTGATTAAGCAATGCATGAAGATGTGCATGCGTATCGCAGAGCTAGTGCAAGATGAGCATTTGTGGTTAAAAAGTATATAACTTTTATTATTATTCTTTTTTTAAAAGAAAATAATTGATTGTTTTGCTAGATAAGACCCTTATTCTTCTGCTGGGATCGTGTAGAACCCTTTGAAGCTGCATTGAAGGCAGTTTGGACCTTCAACCTGTTAGCCACCGTTGAAGCCTACTATATGGAGAAAAATCCTGGAATGATTTCCTCAAAAAATTGTATTTCTTTGCGACTGAATAAAGACTTGAACATCTTGGATAACATGGGGTGAGTAACTTATCAGGAAATTTTCAATCAGGAAGTGAATAAGGCTACTCCTTTAACCAGCTTTTTTGCTAGTAGAAACATGGCTAAGCTAGTGGATTAGCTAGACTAGCAAGAAGCTGCCATAAACCAGTTTGCACTTGCTTGGAAATTCATGCTTGCTTATCTAAGCTAGTGTTTACAGCAGGGAACCCTCGTGTCCTGGAGTTTTTTTTTTTCTTCTGGCAATTTTTCGGAAACATTCATTTTCAAAGTTTTGTCAGTCAAACTATCGAGCCCAAGGTACACAACAGTAGAACCAATCAAACAGACTTTACACCTATCCATTACGGCCTTATTTCACTGGATCCAAATTAAATATGGCATCTATCCTGACTTGGGTCCATTGGAGACTCTCATGTTTGTCTGGAATTCACGTTATGTCCTTAGCTTACTCAAAAATAAGATCAGTGTGTGTAGATCAGGTTCACACAGAGCAGTGTGTTCATTTATCACACTCAACTTATTCTCCATTTTGGATTACTGGCTCCCCTCTGTGAGATTATTAAGAGTCTAGTAGCTTTTGGAGGGTCCCTGTATGCTGTTGACACTATTGGAGGAGCGTCTGTCTGGAGCTGTAACATGTAGAGGAGGGGGGTCATGTTGAGGTTTTAGGGACTCGGAGGGGCCACAGAGTACCGCCCTCTTCACCAACCCCCCTCCCCCAAACAAAAGGGCCAGATGGTAAGGGAAAGCCAACCCCTCCCCCCTGTGCGTACCCCCACCAACCTTTGTCTGGAGGCCTGTCCTTTGTTTGCGGAAGAACCCTCAAACGGATTAACTCCTTGCATTCCAGTCTTTGTGTTAAACAGCCAAATCTCCTTCTCTACTGCCCCCCACCCCCCTTTTGCATTTTCTTCCCTTCTGTCTAAGGCAGTTTCCTGTTGTAAGGGGGTTTGAATGGTAGCACCAGGCTCTGGGGTGGGGCAGAAGGGGGTGGAGGCTAAGTTTGGTGAGAGGGGCAGTCATCCACATCTGTTGTAAGGCAAGCAAGGGGTTGGGGGTGGTGGTTTTGGTTGGGATGCAGGTGTGGATCGCAAAAAAACAGAAAAAAGGATGATCGTTTGCGATTTATCTTGCACATTTGTTTAATCGATGTCTGGTAAGAAAGGAGAAAGTCGAGCGACAAAAATTTTACATTTACTTTCAGATGACCTAAAGCTGACATGCTTCTTTGTGATTGGTAGAGATGACAGAAAAGCCACACAGAAGTGTTCACTTCAAGTACATTAATTTAAATGCGACCAAGTAATGCAGGAAACAAACAAACAAAAAAAGAAAGGCTGTTATGGTTGTGTGCATTTATAGTTGACCTGGATGTAAATGAAAACAGGTAGAACACATCATGTCTTTAAATAATCAATCATATTGCATAATTTTTTCTTCTCTGACATAACACAGTCTGCAAATGAAAAGGCAGCTGATTTACATATTACACTGATAAACTCTTAGGTCAGGTCATGTTTTACAATATTGCTTTAATGCTGAGAGCAAAAGAAACATATGGGTTATCAAATGGACATAACGCATTTCTTTTATATTGTTTGGTTACGTCTTTTTGTTGTTGCATGAGCGTTGTATAATTTTCTAACATGTCTTTTCTGTGTAGTACTTCTGATGTACTGCAGCATGTTCTTAAAATCAAAATAATGGCCCAATGATGGATTAATTTTTCTAGTCTTAAAGTAAATAATTTGTAATGGTTATTTAGGCATGGTTTTAGGAAATTCTTGTCTTTTTATATTTTAATAGGTAAACTCTAATGACTTCCTCCTACATATGTTACTTGCTGAGTATATAAAAATACATCACATTGAGGTATTGGGAGTTGTTTTTCTGTGTGAATATTGTCTTATATTATCTATTATCAAAAGGAAAAAATGTTGGAGACATGGTATGGTGGGAAGTGTACGTGTACAGGCCTGTTGCAAGTGCGGGCAACCAGTGTTTGAATCCAGTTGTTTAGATCATTGCCCAATCCCAATACCCCTTTTTCCCCCTGATCGTTTGCAGTAATATTTTAATTTTAAAAACCTCTATTTTTTTTATTGTATGTATTTTAAGTTTTATTAATTTTTTAAATAAACAATTCAGTTTTTATTTTGTTTCAGTATTGTTTTATTTTTTACATGACAAGTTTTTGGATAATTTCACACTTAGTAGACTAATATAAGTGTCACACTTCTTTGTATTTTAAAAGCCACTCAGGTATGTCATAGTGTCATCACACCAGCTTGTTAAAGACAAACTTTCCCACATTTCCTCTGTGTTCATGCAAAGTATGCAAGCATTAAACGAGTTTTCCTGCTGCAATCAAGGTAACTGAACTCACTTTAAAAAAAAAAAAAAAAAAAAAAAGTGACTTGCTTGTGCTCACCATTCCTCCCCACCTTGATGTGCGTCTATTTGCGGCTTTTCAGTAACAAAGTGTAACTGGCGTCTTATTTCATTTCCCCTGCACCCTGATTGGATTTGAGATGGTCCTGCTGTCTCCCTCCAGCAGCTTTCCGACAAAGCTGCAATCTCTTTAACGGCAGCTGATAGATATGATAATGCCGCCTGGCTTTATTGTGCACTGACTGAAGGGCGAAGAACAGGCATGACGTTCCTCTGTCAAAGTGCCTTTCTTGCTTTTTCTTTTCCCTTCCTTTCACCTGTTTTATTTGTTTCCTGGTTTATGGCTTCTGTAGAATGTGAGATGTTAATGCATGGTACCTCCTACTGAGCGCTCATTTACGCACTTATATATGGTTCTTGTAATGCATCTTGTCTTCCCTTTTTTCTTTTTCTTTTTTTGTCTTTTGTGTCTCTGCTTACTTCTCTCAATTAGATGGAGTAGATCATCCCCACCATTCTTATAAATGTATCACCTCCACATTATAAAGGAATAGTTGACCCAAAAATTCTTACAAATATGTGACATTATTTTCTCTGTGAAACTCAAAAGGTGAATTTTTGAAGAACATCTTGACATGAATGAGGATTAAGGCTATTTCTCTAAAATGACAAAAAGCAACATTGGTCCAAAGAATGCTGTAGGCTACCGGTTTTTGAAGCTTTACAATGGCTTTGTGTGAAGATCAGACTGAAATTTAGGCCTATGTGCCCTAGCTGTTTTAGATGTTCATGAGAGAAGTTTGATTTGTGAATAAATCATTTCGAGTCTGAGAATCTTCATCCATTTTTCGGAAATGGTCTGAATGATTCATTCATGAAATCACAGATTTATCATATGAACTACCTTTATGGTACTTTTGTGTCCTTTTTGAAAGGTCTTCATTTATTGTAATTTCATAGAGAAGGGCGACCAGTGTGGTCTTTAAAATTGTTCTTTTTGTGTTCCATGGAAGATACCCTCATTTTGTTCCAAATCCATGTAATTTTGAGCAAGTGATGACATAATTGTAATTTTTGGCTGACCTATTCCCTGTAAGAAGTATGAATTCAGTCTGTATTTAAATCTAAAAACTTGATTTTTGCTGCAGTTCCGCTACTTTTGTAGTCTTATGAGCTGAATGTTGTTTAACCTTGCTCTCTTATTCCACCCATAAACGGTGAGTGATTTATGAAAACTGTCATAAGCTCTCCTTTGCGTTATGCTCACGAACACAAATCCGTCAAATGGTTTCCACTCCACTGCAAGATATATGAAATGGGTGGAAACTGATTATCCCCGTTGACCTGTCGCCATGCCGTGAGTGGCCTATTTTGTCCTTTTTGCAATCTGTCACATCAAAAGTAAGCTTTTTCCCACATTCAGAACAGAAGTCTAATTTTGTTACATCAGCAGAAATAATGCAGAGCGGTAAAAAGTGCTGCCTCGGAAGATGGAACAACTTATGTTCGTTTTCTTAAGCCCTGCTTCAGCAGCTTTTATGAAGCGTCCATTAAATCAATATCTAAAGAGTGAGAGCAGTTTAATGCCGACCTGTTTAACAGGTACTTATTTTCAATGAAGTAATTAAGGGACCATTTGGAGTGCAACCCGCTCCCCCTAGCAGCCCTTAAGGACTGTATTTCCTTAATTAACAAATATCAAGCCTAATTGATTAGCCACTTACAGGTCACACCTCATAAAGTGGGAAGCTATCCAGGGGTTATGATTGTAGTGACCCAGCTTTGATAGAAGCTGTCAAGTTCTTCTGAGTGTGATACTGAAGAAGATCGGTCTTCTGTTCTTACTCTGACGTGCCTTTTACAGTGTGCTGGAGCCAAAGCTTGATCTGAAACCATTTAGCATGTTTACACCACAGAAAAATCGAATCCGCATCGCCCCCTAAACCCTACGGGTCTCACATCTTGCATCACTAACTTGAAAGTTATCAGAAGTTTTCATAACTCAAGCCGGTAACATCTAAATTAAATTAGTTTGGATGTTAAAATACATTGTATCATTGTTATAAATGTATTGCTTTGAATTTTGTTTCTTAGTAGTTTCGGTGGTTCCATCAAAAAAGCTCAGAATGGTGAAAAGCCACTGAATTAAATTATATAAAGGGTTTTAAAATAAACCCTTAAGGGGGTTGTAAATGACAACTCCAATGTTGTGTTTTTATTTGTGAGTAGGTGAGTTGCATCACAGTTGAGCACAAGCTTTTCTGTAAAAACATTTTCGGTAAAGACTAGGCTAATTAGAGAAACAACAAGGCCTGGAACAAACCATGCCATTCAGTACTATTTTTCACATGGGCTTGATGTGTTAAGTGTACCACAGCCTGTTGGTGTTTAGTTCGGCAGCTGTTTAGTTCGGTGTAGTTCACCCATGTATTTGATACTCAACTTTGTTTATTCTGCCTTATTTTGCAGTGTATTCTGGGATCTGTACTGTGCAGCTCCAGATCGACGGGAGACATGTGAACATTCCAGCGAGGCCAAGGCTTTCCACGACTATGTGAGTTCCTATTTTATCCGCCGTGGAGTTTGGTTGAACCTGAAGTTCTGTTGTTGGTGATTTCGTTAACCCAAATGATCAGGGTTTTTTTTTACAGTTATCGGTGCTGTTTATCTTAAGCTTCGGTTCATTTTTGATTGAACGCATGCGCTATAAATGGTCACCCAGGTTGTGACTTTTATTACCGAAAATTTCGTAATATCTATAAATATCATCGTAAATCTGTGGTAGCTTCATTGTCTTTGTACCAGGATACACCTTTTGGTTCTAATAAAGTTCTAGCACAGTAGCCCAGATGCTTAAAGGGGATAGTTCACCTCAAAAATAAAATTCTGGTATAATTTACTTACCTTCATGTTGTTCCAAACCTGTATGACTTGCATTTTAAGATATTTTGAGAAATGTCTTTTCGGTCCATAAAAAGAAAGTCAACTAGACAACAACGTCAAGATTTCCGGTTTTGTGTTCTGCAAAAGAAAGTAAGTCATACAAGTTGGGAACAACAAGAAAGTGATGGACACAATTTTAATTTTTGGATGATCTATCCTTTTAAGACTGCAGGATTAAGAGTAGGCTGGGCTATCTTGAAGGTCTGCACCATGACCCTTTTGACCCCTTGATCTGCGGAAGACCTTTAAGTTAGTAATGGAGAACTGGAGTAGCATGTGTGGACAACCCTTGAGCTCCACCAAAAAGGGTAGTTCTTTGGCTTTCCAACTGCAAATGACCATGTTAATGTGACCACAAACACTGACCCTTGCTCAACCCTTGGGCTCAGTCTTGAAGAGTTTGAGTGTTCGCGCCTGTATCTATAATTTGCAGAATACACTGGGACCTCTTTTCCACTCTGCATGTTTTCTTTGGCAGAAATTTAGCGTCAAATATAAATTGTGCAAATATCTTTTACCCGACACATTAGCAGTGTTAAAACCTCGTGAATACGCTCCAGAGGAGGATAATGTGTCAAAGATTATATGAAAGTAACTATGATTTACTGCTAACTGTTAGCACCAGAGTCTCACCTGGGTCAGATCTTGGGGCTTGAGTCATGAAAGGGATTATGCGTCTATTCTTGCCTCAGACATTTAATTTACTGGACCTGCTAGCAGAGAACAGTTACAAGTTTGTGTCAGCTGCCTGCTGAAGTTTCAACCAATTGGAATCTGCGTGCCTGTGTACGGCCTCTATAAGATTAATTACATGGTTAATTAAACGCCATGCTTAATTAAGTCTGACGTGTGTTCAATGAATCTATACGCCTAATCATTTCTAACACCCAATGGACACCTGGGATTGTCGAAATGAGTGTTCTGATGACCCCCTCCTCCGCACGACTGACTACCCGTGCTCAACGTTGATGCGGCTGTTGTGAAACAGGCTGTCTGCTCCGATTGACTGTTTGAAATGCTCGGTGGCCTTTTCTAAGTAAACTCCAGATAAGTTTCTAGGCTTTGCTACTGGACCTCAGGGACTCGGCGAGTTTGAAAGGCTCAGATATCCTGCCCCCGAGTTCTAGTCTGAGGATTAATGACTGGTTTCCCCTGACCTTTAACCCTCGGCAAAGTTCAGGAGGTCAGAGCATATCCGGCCTGTGTTGTGTCCCGTTCCGAATGTTTTCCCAAATCTTTTCATCAGGCTATTAATCTCCATTTGCCTTCAGAATGTTGAGTCCAGTGGATTAATTCTGGGTTTGGGGTTTTTATTAATTGGGCTAGAATGAAGTGAACATGTCAAGTTCGTTCCTCGAGGGTTACTCAGCGCTGTTGAGCGATTTCCCCAGCCATCAACTCTCGATCCAATGGCTGGCCAATTCTTGGAAGACCTGAGGCCACTTTCTGTCTATTTTTGAGGCTTTTGTAGACACCAGGCTAATGTTGTGTGAAGAGTCTTATGGTGGAGGTCGTGACGAGTTTTGGTGGTTATGGGGATGGTGGAGATGAGGAGGAGGAGGAGGAGGAGGAGGCGGTGGCGGCGGCGGCGGCGGCGACGGAGGTCCCATGGGTCGCTCCAGACCTGTCTCCGTCTGATTAACTTCAGCTCTGGGATCCCTGTGGACTGGCCGCCCCATCAAGCCTGCAATCTCAGGCAAGGCTGATAACAGTGCCCATTCCCTAGCGTGTCAGTGGATCAGGGGCAGAAAAACAAGCGGGTTCCCAGGAGTCAAATCCTCCTCACTGTCAGCACCACAGTTATATTGGCTTCTCCAAGTCAGGGCTTCAACGGTGACTAGGTTTTTGCAGTCATAGCATTAAACCGTTATGTTTTTGTTTGTAAATTTCCTGGTGGTGGAATTTGGGGAAACTCTGACTCTTCTTTCTTTTTGTCTACCCTTCTTTTCTCTTTTTTACTCATGTGGCCAGTGATGCACTTTGTGCGAGTAAGTCCTCCAGTTGGGAGGAAAGATAATGGGATATAACATGCAAATCTTGAGATCTGTGGAATCTGGTTCATAACTAATCCGAGGATTGCTATAGGATTGTGACTCTGGCTGGGCTCCCAGAAGTGGAGAGCCAGTTCCCCAAAACCAGGCAGCCACTAGTGCCACCAAGAAACCCTTGATACCACATCTTTACCCCTTTAGTTAGATATATTGTTATAGAGGATCTGAAATCAGTATTTAGTCCAATATTCGGGATGCTTACTGAATAGAAAGAAGGGAAAAGAGTAAAACATTGAAAGCAGGATATAGTGGTACCTGCTCACTGCAAACTTCCTAAAACTCCCACAGAAGCCTGTCTCCCATCAGAGCCTTTGTCTAAACCTCTGTATTTAGTTACACCAGCAGAATGGTTTGCATATTTGTCATGTAATTTTGCGTGTGGAGTTGCTTGTAAACAGATGAGTTCATAACAATATTGTTCTGGTGAGTGATTTGAAAGATCTTATCCTTTATTTTCTGATTTCTGATTTTTCTCAGACAGGCTTTTCCAGTTTTATCTAGATGGTAATCCTGGTTCTGTGAAAAGTCTGTTGATGTTCATGTGATAATTGCACATTATTAATTTGGAGATCTTCAGGAACTCCACCACAAGTAATGTCACAAAACAAGCTTTATATTTTAACACAGTATTTCTAATATAAATGTATCTATATTGGTTGATATTGTATGTATGCTATTGATATTGTATATATGCTGGCATTGGATATTTATTTTATTGTAAATGTGCTATATTTACATTTAAGTTTTTGCTGTCACATATTGCTGACTTTAAGATAATTTTAATAGCCTATGTTATAAATGATAATTTAATTAATTATACAGTATTGGTTAATGTATATTTTTAGAATGGACAGATACTAATAAATTAATTTAATAAGCAAAATGGTACAGATAGATTAAGCATCACCAGCAAGAAACTGTCTAATGTAAATTCCCCGAAAAACCAGGTCAGGCGAACCCAAAACCAGCCTAATTATTCATGGCCTCCTTAGATTGAAAATTCAACCAAAAATTTAAATTTTTATAATTTATTCAGCCTCTTGTCTTGCCAAATTTGTAAGTTTCTGTCTTAGGCAGAACACAAAAAATGTCATTTTAGAAGTTTTTCAAAGTAAAATTTTTATGTTCAGAAGATAAGACCGTGTGGTCCAAAACCCCATTGACTTAAATTCTATGGGCAGTCATGTACATTTGGAAAAACCTTTTTGGGTGAAGTATCACTTGGGTTTTTAAGACTAATTAGTACTTCAGGTGACCTACTAACTAGTCCATTTAAAAAAAATAAAACATAGTTTTGGACATCCTTAATATCACCCAACCTATCTGCTACATCAAGTGTCACGCTCTGAAAGATGGTTTTCCCCATCCCATCACGTACTGACAGAAACATTGCAAGTACATAATGGAGGTCTTTTTCTTGACCCTCAGCACTCTTGAGTTGCTCTGTTACACCGTTTAAATGGGAACATAACTAACACCGATTTCAGCCGTCACATATGCCTACACGACAGACATGAGCGTTCCTCAATGACACATTTACGAGGTGGAAAAACTTGGAGAGGACGGAAGAGCGACAGACAAACATGTTTTTCGTTGCGGCATCTTTTGGCAGCGTTCTGCGTCATTGAAAAGACAAGTGGAGGAACAGGTGGTTTAATATATCCGAGTGTTTCAAAAGTGGAAAGTGAATAAGCATTGGTCATTGTCTTCGTCTTTCTTTTTTCATGCGCTTCCAGGTGGTCCTGATGACTAATGTGTGACTGTGATTTTGAATGTGAGCTACGTGCCGCTTTTCTCCTCTCAATCTGAGGTGTTTTCACGGCATCATCTGCCCTAGCGTTCACCTGTCTGTTTTTCCCCTTTCGTATGCTCAGTTTCTGCCCTTTTTCATTTTAAATCTCTCAAAAATGCCTCCCATTTTCTTGCTCTCAATGAGAATTACCAGCTTTTTGAAAGATGACAAAAAGGAATAAACCTTAAAGGAACGAACAATGACTAACACACGTTTTCACTCAAAGGCTTTGTCGTTATTCACCTTCATCTTCCTCTTTGTTAATTTTTCAGCTGAAAAACACCAGGAGAGAAGCATATGTTGTATTTTGGATGCTGGTCCCCAGCATGAGATGTTAGCATGCTAGTGTCCCCACCAGGCTTCACAACTAGCTTCTAAGATTTGTTTTGTCAAGTTTCACATAGTTATGCCTGTTCACCAGCTAACCCAGCATGGAAAAATGTTTTTTACTCTTTTACCACACCTTTTCTATCTTTAAAGAGTTCATCAAGCTTTTATGACTTTCCTGAGCTTGTTGTGTTAAAAAATAAGTGTGAAATGTGGTCTCTTTGTTTTGTCTAGCCATAAGAGACGTCAAGAGTTACTTTGACCCTTTGTTAGTTGTTTACGTTTCAGAGCGTCTGGATATAGGGTGTGTCTGAGGGTCATTTATTTATTTTGAAATTCTACCATATCTTGCTAGATATTTACCCTGTTGAAAAAAACAGCATATGCTGGTTAGGTATGTTTTGAAGCTGGGATGCTGGTTTGAGCTGGTCCTTTGCTGGT